TGTGTGATAATATATCAATCGGAACGTGTTAAGGAACTGCACGGTCGAAGAGCATTCGTAGAAAACGATTGCCAAAATTGGAGTATTTCTTTATTGAAAAAAAAAAAAAAACATTCTACGTATTAATGAGAACACTGCGACATGTGTCATATGCACAACATTTTAAGCGAAATTTCCTGTCAATCAATGGTGCTATAATCGTTTCAAGCTTTGGCTAACATTTCTCTTCCGTCTGAAAAATCTAGCGTTTTACAGATACTTTCAATCATGCACTCTGTTTTCTGCAAATACTCATATAAAAGACGTGCTGTAAAATCCCACGACAAACAACGGTTTTATGATTTTTTTCTTGGGCACATATTTTACTAACAACATATAAAATTTGAAACATACATTCGTATGTATCGCCAGTCGGCTGCAAAAATTGGTCAGTTCCTACTACCTGTTAAAATGTAAAAATACAATCTTTCCATCAGTCGTTCACGATCAGATAATTACAATACGCATCGATAGTATCACCCAGACAATTGACAAAAAAATGGAAAGTACATGGATGTGAATAGGATTACTCAGATGATGGCATCCACACGCAATGTGCCAGTCGATAGTCAGCGAACGCGCTGGGTGATCCTCAACAGATCTCGTCGTAACCGTGGTCGGAGCCAGGCACGACGTAATTAGGGTCGCAGACCGTGTCTTTGACAGCCTCTCGAGCGTTAGCCTTGAACACTCTGTAATTAACCTTGCTGCTGTCGATACTGCCGTAAAGATACATGGCTAGCCTATTCGAGATGGTCCAAACGTTCTGATCGTACTCGTGATCGACCTTGATGTCGTTCGGGAAGACCAGGGACAAGTTGCTGGTGCCTATCACGCCGAGATTCTGCGGGATGTATTCCTTCCTGGTGTCCCAACACCAAACGGAGTCCCTGGTCACCATGTTGAAGAACATCACTCCGTTTCGATCGATCACCGAGCCGGACGAGTGGCCGTAGTCCTTCGCTCGGGGCCTACCGATCGGCATGAAGTAGTCCGTGTTCTCCTCGGCCGTCCTCTTGTCACGCAGGATCGACGTCGAGACGGCGAACTCCCGGAAGCTGGACATCGGATGGAAGAACAGGGTCCTGTCGTCGTGGATGTCCACCGGGCTCAACGCTATGCCGAAAATCCCGTCCGTCCATTGGAACTTGACGCCGTGGAGCTCGTACTTGGAGGCCAACGGGTCAGGGTAGAAGAGATGGTGTTGGATCCTGAAGGAAGAGTCGTTGAGGAAGTCGTACACCAGCAATCCGTAACGAAACACGTCGGAGGCGTAGGCTACTGCCGAGTCGCAATCCTCGTTCCTGATGTCCACCACGATGTTCGTGTACAAGGAATCCTCCTTCACTTGGTCGCTCGGTATCGTGTACTTTCTGACAAGAGTGTCGGTCGTCAGGTCGAAGATGAATATGGATGGCGGGCAGGCCGGTTTCGCTCCTTTCGCCACGTCCACTTTCCCCGAGTCTAGCACCCAAAGACGCTCGCACTCGTCCACTTGGACCCTGAAGACGGATGTCAGCCCGTCGCAGTTCCCTGCGAAAGCACAGATTAACAGAGTCCAGGGGACAGTCGCGAAGTTGCAGCCGGCTCAGGCAACTCAATGCAAGGAAAGCGAGATATTCAAAGTGCAAGTTTCCCAGGAAAATCTTATCTCGTGAAATATTACATGTAGTTTGTTACATAAGTGTGTCTAGGTATACGAGAATGTGACATTAAACATTAAACTGTCACAGGAGTAATATTAAATAAAAACACAAGAAGAAAGCTATAAAGTTTTTGAATTGAAATTAGTTTAAGTCGTTTGATTGAGGAAAGAAACTTTCTTGAAAGGCAGATAACTGCGACGTTTTGAATAGGACACACCCTGTACATATAATAATAATAACACGCGCATATGTCAGGATATATATAAAAGATGCAATTACGATAAATATGCAAATATTTTCGCGAGTCAGTGCCATTTCAGTATATTATACCTGGCTGGTGCCAGCTCCAATCCGGATAAGGTCTCAGTTTGGGGCTTTTCGTCTTCGAGGGTTTGGGCACGGTAGCCAACGTGGCCGGAATGCCCTCTTTCCATTTCGGAAGGGTAATGAAGACCTTGTCCCTCCAGATCTCCAGCCCGAGCGGCAGGTTATTCTCCGCGACGAAGTCTCCGTCGTAAATGGCCGAATCACGAGCCTCGATGCTGTCGTACGTATAATCGATCGTCGACCACGCGTACACCTGTCGAATCACCCGAGATTCACCTTTAACGCGCTGTTAAAACGCTCTCGTTAATCTCTGTTCGCGAGGATTCCTTTGAAAAGCTCACCAACTCCATAGCGGGTCCAACGTAATCGTCCTCGATCTGACCTCGACCAGGATCGTAATTAAATCCGTGAGACTCTAGCTGATTCACCGAATGCGCGTCCGTTCGGAGCAGGTTCCTTCCTGATAGTCTCGAGCCGATTTTTTTTTCCAAGTGTCTGGAAAAATATTCGCTCGAGTCCGGCGTCGAGCCGTACGGATGACTGTTGTACACCGGCGTCGTTGGTAATCTTTCCAGCAAGTTCTCCTCGAGTTTCGGCGAGTCGCAGTTTATGTGACCGGGAAGCTCGTCGTGGCCCGAGATCAGGATTTTGTAATTCCTTAAAGACTAAGGATACTCGACAATAATTATCATTCCAATTCCAATTGATTGCAATTGTTATCAAAATCGAGGCTTCTAGGTTTAGGTTAGGTTGTTATGATTGACATGATTAAATTTATTGTGGCCTGATATCAGAATTTTGTAATTTCTTAAAGACTAAGAACACTCGACAATAATTATCATTCCAATTCCAATTGATTGCAATTGTTATCAAAATCGAGGCTTCTAGGTTTAGGTTAGGTTGTTATGATTGACATGGTTAAATTTATTGTGGCCTAATATCAGAATTTTGTAATTCCTTAAAAACTAAGAACACTCGACAATAATTATCATTCCAATTCCAATTGATTGCAATTGTTATCAAAATCAAGGCTTCTAGGTTTAGGTTAGGTTGTTATGATTGACACGGTTAAATTCCTTGTGACTTAATATCAAGATTTTGTAATTCCTTGAAGACCAAGGACAATAATAATTATGATTCCAATTCCAATTGATTGCAATTGCTATCAAAATTAATGCAATTGTTATCGAGGTTTCTAGGTTTAGGTTAAGTTGTTATGATTGACATGGTTAAATTCCTTGTGACTTAATATCAAGATTTTGTAATTCCTTGAAGACCA